GTCAATAACTCCCAAACCGTTGGACATACGGAAAAATTGCATTAGACCTTTCTTATAGAGGACGACGAGATCTACAATTTCCATGTAAAAATTTTTCGCTAGCGACAATAGTTAACGAGTAATTTGCAAAAAACTGTTTTTTCGTTTTTCATCAATAACTCGTTAAATATTGAGGCTAGCGAAAAATTTTTATACAGAAATTGTAGATCTCGTCGTCCTCTACAAGAAAGGTCCTATGCAATTTTTCCGTATCTCCAAGGGTTTCGGAGTTATTGAGGAAAAACGAAAAAATTTTCCAAAAGTCCGCCGTTTCGACGCTGGGATGGTCGGATTTTGTCAACATCAATAAAATGCCATATAATCATATGTAACTCATTAAATATCGACGTTGGAAGGAAAACAACTTTTATTTGAAGCATTTTTCGCAATTTTGAAAAAAAAAATTTGTCGTCAGCGTCAATACTTAATTGGACATTTCCTTCTATACTGTTTAACCCGTAGCTATTTATTATTAGCATTATTCTTCCGACGTCTGATTTCTTTTTAATTATAGGAAATGCGTTTTTCTAAGATACATAAACTTTCGGGATTGACTGTATAGCCAATACATCCTTAACTTAGCACAGTCGCAGAGCGAAGCGCAGCCATTGCAAAATTGCTGCTTAAACAATGTGGGCCGATTGCTCGGGTAACGGCGCGCGAGGAACGAAACTGCTGTTTCCACGATGCTTCGCAGATTTTTCTAAGAACTTTCGTCTCACACAGTAGACAGTTTTGCTCTTGAATTTCAATGAACCTGAGAGGCAGAGACCTTTGGCAGAGAACAGACGGTAAAAACCTTGGAAGGAAAAGATCTCTGAAGCACCCCCGCCGTCAAACGGTAAACGGTCGCGGTTGGTCCCCGAAAAAAAAGAGAGTATCCCGCGGCGCGACACTCCGCCGTAGCCCGAAGGAAACTCGTCTCGAAATAGTCGTTCCGCGTTCACCCGTCGGCCTTGAATTTTTCACCCAGTAATCTTTCCGCAAGGGTGGAGTCCCACCACGGTACTTTTCCGAATCCGCGTCTCAGTACACGCCCGAGGAAACCGACTCTCACCCTTCCCAGTGGCAGGGTGGTCTATTTTCGCGACTAGCGAGGTCACGGAGGGAGGCTCAGGGTCAGATGCTCGACACGTGTAAACGACCGTGCGTCTGACTTGGCTCAGACTCGACACTGACAGAGTCCGCGCGGGTGCCACGGATCTTTTGAAATTCGACAAGAGCAAAACTGATTGCGACTGTGAAAAAAGAATGTATTTTACGAGCGAGAAGGGAATCGCGTGGAAATGGATACAGAGCTAGCGGGGCTTCGAGATAATACGTTCTACGCAGAAAAAGGAAGCCCCCGCCCCCTTGGCTCTGCGTAATTTCCATTTATTAACATATCGAGAGCGACCCTCCCGTAGACGTTTCACAGATGTTTCGACGGTAAATCGTAGCACAGGGTGGCTCTCACAGCAGTTCCGGTACCGATCATTGTACGAGTTCCGTACGGAACTCCGCGAGGAAGATGAACGATCGAACGAAGCGACCCGAGATCTCGGCCGGGGACGACAATGGACAAAAATGATGGACGCGCGACAGGTCGGCTCACTTTAAAGTTCTCCACGCCCTCGCCGACTTGCTCGATGTCTCCTGCGCACTCGGATCCCATGATAAAAGGGGTTTTCGGTGGGGAATCGATAGCGCCCTGCCTGGCCATCAGATCTTGGAAGTTGAGTCCGCTGAAAAGAGACGAACACGGTTCGTGTGAAAAGTCTTGCTCATCAAGCGGCAAACAAACGTGACAATTAAATTTCAACGTATATACAAAGGGCACACACGATCTTTGCTCGTTCTGTGGTAACCGGCAGTTTTCGAATCGGACGCTGGACAAACGTTTGAAACTCGACCCCCGCGGAGGAGTATGCCGATCGTCGTGCAACGTAATTGCAGGTAGCATTGAACCACGGACCGTCGGTTTCTCAGGTGAGTAACGAGCGAGGCGGTGGCGGCGACGATCGATAGAGATAAAATATTCGTGTGGGTATAGCATTGGCGCCGGTTTTCCAGGAAGCCGGAGACCGGTGGCGGTTCTGATAAAAGCGCACGTCGACGTTCCACGGTCCCCAACGCGAGAGAGAGCGTTGCGTGCGACGCCAGGCGTCGGTCTAGGCGTCCTGGCGCCTTTACCCTCTTTCATTCTCCGTCGGTGGAGGGTCAAACTCCAAGGAACGTACTTAGATAAACGCGTGTATTTATACGCGTGTAGGTTGGTTCTCGGTTCGCGTGGACCACGGCCGAAACGATCCCTGCGATCTCCTCTGAACGTGAACGTGAACCAACAGGTTCGTTCTCGTCACGGAGAAATCGTACCTCGATCTTGGACGATCTAAGTAGTACTTACTAAAGTAGCGAAATACATATAAAGAAAGTGATCGCTTCTGTTCAGGTTGCGACGCGCGGGTGCCACGCTCCTGCAGGTAGGCCGACCCGAGAGGAACGCGCAGCTGCCCTTGGCCTCGGAAAAAGCCAACATTAGAAACGGGCAATCGGACGAGAGAAGAGGGACAGAGAGGAAGCAGGCCTGATACGTGTATCGTCCCGAACGGAAGTGGAACGCATAATGCGATCGTCGCTCCCTATCAGCGGGGGATTACTCGGTTCGCTACAAATAAACAACAGAACGAAAGGGGATTTTTCGGTAGGAACACGTGTACGTTCAGGTCTTCTCATCGCTCGCTACGATTCGTCACGAGAGACGTGATGATGATATGAAACAGCGTCGAGCAGGGAACCTCCCCGCGGATTACTCTCCCCTCCCCTTATTTTTCCTCACACGATTATTCCCGGAACGATGAAACGATGAAACGATGAAACGATGAAACGATGAAACGACGAAGAGAAAGAAACCGCGGACAGTATCATCATCGTGGAAAGACGTCGAATCAGAAAATTGTTATCAATGACTCGCGCGAGTCACGCGATTTCCTGGGAATAATTAGTACGGTGAATCATTGCGGTACGCGCGCAGAAAGAGTATCGCTCTTCCCAGATAGAGAAAACTCGTAAATGCGTCGATGAATAATTAATACGGTTCTGCGATTAGTAATGGGTCGTAGTTGGTCGTAATGGCGAATCTAACGAGTATTCGTTCATCTGTTTGATAACAGCGTTCCATCGAATATAAAACTCGTACGAAGGACGCGTAAAACGATAATGATCACCTTTAAACGTTCAGAGATCTAGAGAGTGAAATTTAATTAGACTCGAGACACTTGCATTAGTTGTATCGAACCCTCCGCGGGAGGGGTTTAGTCGATAATCAAAAGTTCATTCTGGCAATGGACATTATCCCCGTTGTCATTTAGCAGAAGCCTCGATGAACGAGGAGTTCTCGATGAAAAGCGGATTGAACGCGACGGAATCCGACGGTGAAACGCAATAATAGCAGGATTTATCGACAGGCTGGCCCGACCGCCCGACAACGACCGGGTGCAACGTTCGTAGTTGGACGTGCATTCAACACGACCAGTGTCTCGTCGTTTCGTCTCCTAAGTATTTACGTTCGATTTTCGCGAAGGAGACGTCGTACGTGTTACACACGCGGGAACTGTGTCAACGGAACGACACGGTTCCCGATCCGCCGAGCAACGCCGCGGATCTATCGGCGTGAAAACGACATTCCCGCGATCGAAAACAAATGACACGGGCTCGATTCGGTGTTTACCCTTGTTCCCATCTTCCTGTCGTACAGCCACAGGGTGCAGCACGACGGCGGCACGATTTCGCGAAAGTTATGAAACATCTAGAACGAACGGTTCTCCTCTGTTCCCGTTGCCTAACGGCCCCGCGAAGCGTAACGCGTTCCACGACTATTTCTCTTCGTAAATTCTTATCGTACGTTCTCGTACACAAAAACCGGGAAGGATCCGACGGTGTCGATCGGGACGCAAATCGAGAAGAGAAACGATCGAAACGAGAATGGTAGCGTGCGCTCTCTGACCGAACAAATTCTAGTATAAGTAGAGTGAGCTCACGCGTTAACTAAACAGATGGTAAGAAGTTGAAACTCGAGTCTTGAAGCCGAGACCTGTCCCCGACCGTTCGTTGTTCCTTCTGTTTTTTTCTTTCTCGAACGGGAAAATGTGGCAGACGAAGTCGCGATCGGAGGGCAGGGCGAAAAGAAGGAAGGCTCCCGAAGCCAGGAGCTGTGGGACTGGTACGCGAGCCTCGGTTCGCGATCGCTTAATTCGTTTAAATTGCATGGAATCGAGGGGAATAATTTTCTCGGTTCTTGGCACCGGCCGGCAGTCGTTGCACGGGAGGAGGAACGACGAGCATCGTGGACGACGACATGCAACGACGCACCCCAGGGTCACGCACACCATGTGCGCGGATAAAACGAAGACAACCGAGGAGAGGGAGAACGGGCGAGAGAAAGCGAAAGCGAAAGCGATCCGGCGAGCGAGGAGGACAGGCGAAAGGGGAAGAAGCAAAAGGAAGTAAAAGGATGAAACAAAGAAGTCGAGCGAGGGGGCAAAGTGAAAGTCGAGGGAAGAACCTCTTTCGGCACTCGATATTAAAATGTTTCTTACGTTGAGCACGTCACGTTTTCTACGAGCTCGGCGTTCCGCAATTTCGCTTCTCTCTGTCCATCTCCACGGACACGGACGCGACACCTTTCTGATTAAAAACGGTAAAGGAGAGAGACCCTGGCCACCGGTCGGAACGAGATGAACGAGTTCGATGAACGCGCATCGCGCGGTAAGAACCGAAGGGACCAAAAGACGGGGACTGAACCACTGAACGCGTATCGGTCGATTTCAAATGCAATTGCCATTGGACGTCGCGTCGCCGCGCGATAGATGCCAGCCGGATAGGCGTGCGTATACCTGCTGCGTGGCGATCCGATCGATCGACGGGGGAAGACGTCGGGGCGCCTGCGAAATCGTACCCTCCCGACGAAATCGCATGCACGAATCTCGCGTGACTCGCCGTGCGACTCTAACGACCTACGCGCGCGTATCGATCGGGTCGGCGTCGATCGAGTCCGTGGCGAGAGCCGTGGCCCGATCGTCTGGCGACGCGACGCCCTAATTGCGAGTACCCGTGGGGGCTCGGGTGAGGCTGAAAAAGCTGATGTGCGCGCATCGATTTTCACGGGGCGACCGACGTCCGATGGGAATCGAAACTATTCGAAACCATGTTCCCCCGTTCGTCTTTCCCAGCGGAGAGACGTGCAACGCCGATCTCGTCACGTGTCTCCGCGCACCCGCTATAAATAAATCCGGTCGTACGTCCGCGTTTCTTACGGTAGCCGGGGAGCAGCTGGAACGATGACCGGCCGTCGATCGGCACGAAACGAAAACGTTACCTTTCCAATTTTATTTTCCACGCGCCTACTTAACGCGGCGAGCGAGTCGACTGCCCGCTACGTTCTCGATGACCCTGCGCCGCTATCGGCGACCTCCACTTGCGCGATCGTTTCCTTCGATCGTCTCTTTGGGGGAAGGTTGAGAGAACGGAATGCAAGAAATTCCTCGATGCTTCTGGTTCAATTAGAATTGACCGTGACGATTCTCGAGTCATGACCGTGGGACCCGAGGGACGACGTTCACTCGCGACAATTAATAGGCTTCTGAGCAGAAACGCGTTACCGCCAATTATCGTTCCCTTCCACTTCCGTAGAAGCGGTCGATCTCAGCGTTGCGGTCTTGCCGAGTAGCCCTCGCGAGATATTGTTCCTATCGATTTTATGAAGAAAAACCGCAGCGGTAAATTTAACTTGACTGCGCTTATGCGGCATTATATGTAATTGCGACTGCGGAATTGTACGTAATTCCTAACGACATGCCATTTGATCCGGAGCGAGATATTGGCCGCTGGCGTGGCTCTAGGCTCGCACACGAGTCGCACAAACGATCGACCGTTAATTATTATTAGCAAAGGGTCAGAAGTACGTCGATGCCCGTAGCTACGTGAGACTGAGTGAGCTGCAACGTGAATTTGATCGGACGACTCTTGGTTGGTTGTTGGACGCGGCCGGCGTAGAAGACGAATCGGAAGTCGAGGGATGACACGAGATATCATTTCAATATGGTTTTTCGTTCAATTTGGTTGTTCGTCGATGAGACGTACGGTTCGCGAGGGTTTAGCCACGTTTTACGTGGCAAGAATGGAAAAACACGACGCAGAAGGCGAGTAAACACACGCGGCGGCCAATAATTATTTAGCACGATGATAGATGACCTCGCCGTCATCGAGAAGTTATCAATTGTTTTGAAACCGGTCGATACAGGGGCTCTTTGTTACTTTTTATCGGGGCTACTCCAATGAGAACCGTGCGTAACTTTCGACCACGCTGGAAATCCCTTCTGGGTAACGGTTTCCCTTTTTTCCGTTCGTTCAGGCATCGACCTCGACGAACGCTGAACTCGTGACGTCCCGCTAGTAGGAGATCGATCGAACCGTCGCCGCCGCCGACGGGACGGGACTGACGGGAGAGAGAATCCAATCTTGTCAGTCGCGTTCGATCCTAGCTCATCAGATGCTCCACGATATCGTGACCAACCGTCCCTTCGCCGATTTCTGCTCGTACGAGCTCTCGTGTAATCGTCGACATCGACGATTCCTTCGAACAACGGTTTCCAGCTGGCTGCCGGATACGTGGTACGTATCGGAGTTAGCCAAACCGGAGGGAAATCAATTCGCTCCCAGGAGCAGCGCTCTCGACCGAAATAGA